TTTTTGGATAATTCCCAATCCCAATCCTGGGAGATTTTTGAGGCTTTTTGGGGATTTTTGAGGCTGAGAATTCCCAGTCCAGAGGGGCTTTTTGGGGCTGTTTTGAGAATTCCCGATCCCAATCCCGGGGGATTTTTGGGGCTTTTTTGACAATTCACAATCCCAATCCTGGGGGATTTTTGGGGCTGAGAATTCCCAATCCTGGGGGATTTTTGGGGCTTTTTTGACAACTCACAATCCCAATCCTGGAGAATTTTTGGGGCTTTTTTGACAATTCCCGATCCCAATCCCGGGGGATTTTTGGGGCTGAGAATTCCCAATCCCGGGGGATTTTTGGGGCTTTTGGGGCTGCGAATTCCCGATCCCAGTCGCCGCCCCGGTGGATCCGGTGGATCCGGTGATCCGGGGATCCGGTGGCACCTTGATCTTTTTGAAGTCCACGGGCTTGCGGATGAGCTCGTAGTACTCCGGGAGCTCCTTGCGGGACGGGAGCTGGATGAAAACCTCGCTCAGCTGCCGCCCGCTGCTGCTGCGGGGGGAGAGGCGTGAGGGGCGGCCTTCCTCATCCTCGTCATCCTCATCCTCGTCATCTCCTCGTCATCCTCGTCATCCTCATCATCTCCTCATCATCATCCCATCATCCTCATCATCCTCGTCATCCTCATCATCTCCTCATCATCCCATCATCCTCATCCTCGTCATCCTCATCCTCATCATCTCCTCGTCATCCTCGTCATCCTCGGCACCCTCGTCGTCCTCATCCTCATCATCTCCTCATCATCCTCGTCATCCTCATCATCTCCTCATCCTCATCATCCTCATCATCTCCTCATCATCCCATCATCCTCATCCTCATCATCCTCATCATCTTCATCCTCATCATCCCGTCATCCTCATCATCCTCATCCTCTCCTCATCATCCTCATCCTCATCATCCTCACTGCCATCATCCCTTCATCCTCATCATCCCGTCATCCTCGTCATCCTCATCGTCTCCTCATCATCCTCATCTTCATCCTCATCATCCCCTCATCCTCATCATCATCATCCCTTCATCTTCATCATCTTCATCCTCATCATCCTCGTCATCCTCACTGCCATCATCCCTTCATCACCATCTTCCCCTCATCCTCATCATCCTCGTCATCCTCATCATCTTCATCCTCATCATCCTCACTGCCATCATCTCTTCATCCTCATCATCCTCATCATCTTCATCACCATCATCCCATCATCCTCATCATCCCATCATCATCATCATCATCCCACCTGAATCCCCCCCAGGAACCCTCAGGAACCCCCAAGAACCCCCAGGAACCTTTAGGAACCCCCAGGAAGCTCCAGGACCACCAGGAACCCCCAGGAACCTCCAGGAACCCCCAGGACCACCAGGAACCCCCAGGAACCCCCAGGAAGCTCCATGAACCTCCAGGAACCTCCAGGAACCTCCAGGACCACCAGGAACCCCCAGGAACTTTCAGGAAGTTCCATGAACCTCCAGGAACCCCCAGGAACCCCCTGGAACCCCCAGGACCACCAGGAACCCCCAGGAACCTCCAGGAACCCCTCAGGAACCCCCAGGAACCCCCTGGAACCCCCAGGGAGCTCCAGGACC